CCTGTTGGAGACTCACTGTCAGACAATGGTTTTATTTGCTTTGAGAAAAGTAGAGAAATTCACATTATGTTTGTAAAGATTGTTATTAACCTTTGATTCAGAAAAACAACAAGAACATCATTAATCTGTCAGAGTTATTATACAAAAATAAAAGCAGTAAAATTTGCTTTATTTCTATAACAAATGTTCTGATATCAAAAATCTGAGCTGATTTCCATAAAGAGACAGTTTTAACTTAAGAGATTAATTGTTTTTATTAAAACAGTTAATCCAATATTTAGGAATAAAAACCAAAATTAAATTATTTCTAAAAACACTTGAATGTTTCACAGATGATCCTGTTGTAACTGAAGAATCTGAAGTAAAAGAATCTAAATGTAAAGTTTTGGTTTCTCTCCAGCCTGGCTCCTCCTGGATCCTGGACCGGTTTCAGATCTGAACTCAAACACAGGAAACAGTTTCTGATTTCTCACACAGATTTTTCTGAGGATCATCACAGGATCTGTTGAACCAGATCTTTGAGTTATCGGTTCTTTGTCTCTTCCCCATCATCACACAGCCTGCTCCTGGCTTCTCCTCTGCTTTGTTGGACTCTTTTTCTGCCCAAAATCTCAAACTGGGGAATAAAGAACGAGAAATTAAAAGCTGACTTCAGTGCTGGTTTTTAACACAACAGTTTTCCTGACAGTCAAATCTTTCATCCAGAGGAGATCTGTCCACCCAGAACCACCTGCCTCCGGTCTCTGAGTCCGTCAGCCCGATCCAGAACTCATCACTGGGTGATTTCATGAAGTTCTTCAATCTTCTCATCAGGAACTCCTGAGCAGTAAAAGATGAAAATATCTCTGAGACTTTCCTGACATGAAGAAACTTGATGAAGTGATGAAATGTGTGAGAACATGAACCTGCAGTCAGTTTCTGACAAACAGCCATTTAGTTAGACAGCAACTTAGGGGCAAAGAAAGTTACAATGTAAGTATTGGGAGTGCTTTTATTTTGAAATGCTACATCAGAAGTTGCACAAAATTGTTGAGGAACATCTGGAGGACTTCTAGAGTCAGACTGAAGTGAGATCAGTCACYGATCACAAAAAAACTTTAATCCCTTTATGGTTAACTTCTAATAACCCTGATTTATTTCTCTCAATAAGATCTCAGATCTCTTTGTGTTTGTTGTTTAGTGAGTAAACATGTTTTTGTTGGTTTTAGCTGCAGTCAGCTGAGGTAAACACATCCAGTTTAAAGTGTTCACTCAGCACAGCGGTTCAGCTTCAGCGCTTTTTGTCTCCTGTTCACTTTTTTTGCTGTTCTTCCATGGATTTTGACTGAAGTTGTTTTTGCAGCTCAGGACTCAAACAGGAAGCTGATGAAGTCAAATCATCACAGAAGCAACATAAAGTCAAATTAATGACTATTAAATCAGAGCTGCTGTGAGAAATAAGTCTAACAGAAAATTAACTTTACGCGTTTTTATGGCAAAAACTGAAAAACAGCTTATTCACAGCAGAAAAATGGAATAAAACTTTAAAGTACAATATTTTTATTATTAAATTTTACTACTTTGGTAAATGATTCAATATTTCTATAAAATGTTTTAATAATTTATTTTGTAATCTGATAATAATAATAATCAGTTTTGATCAAAAAGCTGTTTTTATTTCCGGTATTTCTAATCTTTAATCTTTTTAATGATTTCAGGCCGGAGCCCGTGCGCATGCGCATTAAACTCTGAAGCTTTAAAAAGCAACTTCCTGTTAATAAGACCGTGCGTGAGGGCGCGCTCATGTGGGCGGAGCTTATGAGTGACGGACAGCTCTGTTTTCTCCTCTCTGCAGCTGCTGATTTCTTCTGATTTCTTCATTTTAATAAAAATAAATACATAAATAAATAAAGTAAATCAGGACATCATCGAGAGACGGAAGTACTTTATTTATTTTAGTTTTTTTCTCTTCTGCCGGGGTCTCCTCCCSCCTCCTCCTCATCCTCCCCCTCATAATCTCTTCATCCTGCAGCTGAGATGTGAGTACTCTCTGATTTTTATTCTGTTTGTATTTTATAAGCATTAAAATCTGTGAATTTACAACCAGAATGAAGTTAAATTAATAAACYAAAAGTATTTTTGTTGTTTTTGTTTGAGCGGAAAACTTTTTTTTTCTTCAGATTGAGGTGTTTTTTAGTTTCTGTTAAGGAATCTGGTTTCAGCAGCTGAGYTCAGAGAGGGTTTAAATGAGTTTTTTTATTTAAATTTAAATTTAAAAATGTATTTTTGCAGCTCTGAGACTCAAACAGCTGCAGTGAATCTGTCAAATATGACATCAGGTTGAGCTGATCACAACCTGCAAATTAACAACCTTTCTGTTGTTAAATAAAACACATTTTGTTAAATATGTGTGTTGTTTTCCATGTGTATGTGTGAGTCTGTGTGTGTGTGGGGGGGGGGGGGGGAGAGCATTAAAGCCTGCATGTTGATGCTGCACTAATCTTTCTCCATTTTGCTGAAAAACCAGCCTGACTGTTGGAGCGAAGCAGAGAAACAAACTGCTTCTCTCCTGGTTTCCACAAGAGATGCACAAAAAAGAAAAACATTTCTTTATTTTCTTCTCACAGCCTTGMATAGTTTTTTCATTATTAAACTGATTTTACTAATGCATTATTCAAATAGTTTTCTCTTAAAAGGAAAAAAAGTTTTGTTTAAAAAGTGTCAATTTCAGAAGAAATGCGATAATATTTCTTGTATAATTTAAATCCTTCACATCCAAACATATACAGTACCATAGTAAATATTCCTTGCAGCATCATGAGGTGTTTATATTGTTTACACTTCATAGAGTTGATTTTGATTTTTGAAAGATCCAGTTTTCAGCTCATATAAACCTCATATCTCCATTAATCGGTTCATCATTTCTCCTCCGATCTTCACGTCATTTCTGCAGGTCCACTCCAGAAACAGCAGGTGCTCCAGGAGCTCCCGGGGCCCCAGAAGGTGAGGGGGGTCCTCGAGCTCCGCCTCCTAATCTGACAAGCAACCGACGTCTCCAGCAGACRCAGGCGCAGGTGGACGAGGTGAGGAACTGGCTTCTTAAAAACYTTAAACTAATTAATGTCTTGGACAGAGACACTGACGGGTGTTGGTTGTCCCTCAGGTGGTGGACATCATGCGTGTGAACGTGGACAAAGTCCTGGAGAGGGACCAGAAGCTGTCCGAACTGGACGACCGGGCGGACGCCCTGCAGGCCGGAGCCTCGCAGTTTGAAAGCAGCGCCGCCAAACTCAAGAACAAGTACTGGTGGAAAAACTGCAAGGTGAGCTGACCCGACCCACACTCGTGCTGGACTTTTAGAACCAGAACCTGGGCACTGGACCTGTGGCTCTGTCATAAACGTGAAACTCCCACACTTCTGAGATAATCTCCAGAACAGCATCAGCACAGATTTATTCATCAAATATAAAAACATGTTTCCTGATTGGCCAATCTTTGAACATTTTCAGTCCCTTTTGGTCCATCGGGCCGAGCATCAGGCTGCGAGGTTCAGATGGTCCAATCAGAGAAAAGATGGAGGATTATGAGAGAGAGAGAGAGAGAGAGAGAGAGAGAGAGAGAGAGAGAGAGAGAGAGAGAGA